TAATATATATATATATATATATATATTAATAATACAATAATTAATATATATATATATATATTATAATATTATATTAATATAATATTTATATATTAATATTATATTAATATTAATATATATATTATATATATATTAATAATACAATTAATAATACAATATTCGATGAATATTGTGCATAATATATTGAATTAAAATGGTTGCACAGGTTCATCTACATTTTGCGAAGAGAAAAGAGCAACGTTATTACAACTCTTCAAACAAAGGCTGCAGACTTTATGTATTTATTATGACAAAATCAAGTGGCAAAGAGATTGAATAAAATTAAGAATCTCAACATTATTATTTTTAGTCAATTAAAATGAACGAAGACATAAATAACTTTTTATTTGTTTCTACTACTTGCGATCGACGCAGACCGTTTTTATTTAGCACAAAGATCCAGTTGTTAAATCACAAATTACGAATCTGTGCGATTTGAAGCCTCCGTCACATTTTCGTCCGTACGGAGGTACGGATACGAGCCCGGCGATAAGCCGATGCTGTTTGCAGTCCGTGTTTGTTTATTTTGTCCTTGATATCGCCTTATGCGTTTTGCTGAGGGTTTATATTACACACTGTTAGAGATAAAGATAGAAACATGAGGCGCTTGGAAATAACAAAGGGTGACCACTCCTAACGCTCGGATGACGGAGCTCGGTTCCGTTTGGGGCACAAATATTGTTAATTGACTTAACAATAAATAAATGACTTAATCGACTCAACAATAAATATCGTTAATTTACTTAATAATTTTTCGCAATTAACTGAAAACTTTGGAACTGATTTTTTGGATAAAACTCCGAAGAGTAACCTTGACATAACCCGAAAACATAGCGGAATATTACGAAAATTTTATCTAAGGTTATATTCCTTGAAGTTAGATCTAAATCGGACGTATTCGTAACTTCTCATTAGTTTGCATCGTTATATGTTTCGAGTACATATAATGGAAATCGAACGGTTGAATGCATTTTAAAGTGCGGCTCTAACTGCATTTTAATTACTGCGCTAATTCTCCGACAATTAGCATGTTCTCCCACTGTTCGCAGTAATTTGTTAGGCACGAATCGTCAATGGTTTCGCTCGAAACGTTTTCGTCGTCTGCTCTACGACTGGTTTTCTGAAACGATCGCCAACGTTGTGTAACCATTGTAAACGTGTCGATTTGAACAGAAAGTTCATTCGGCTTTTTGCCGCGGAACGGCTCTGGATGCAAGTATGTATGTATGTAGTTGCGATTAACCTCGTTGCCTCAACCTGGTATCACTGAATAGCTCGCATTCCGCCGCAGAACCCGAGGAAAACCGTTCTTAGTGGGTAATTGTCTTTCTGATTTTGCTATTCAACGCTGCCGATTGTTTAACAGTATTGAAACATTAACATTTAACTCGTGCTACAATCCACGCTGCGTAAACAGTAGAAGAAATATTTCCCGGTCAAGAGAACCACAATATTACGGTTATTATAAAGGATGTTTATTTTTGAGTGTTACTTTTAAATTTCGCGCCACTTAAATTTTTTGCATTAGATTGCTATATATATATAGCAATTTGCTATATATATATAGCTATATTGCTATATATATATAGATTGCTATATATATATAGCAATCTATATATATATAGCAATATAGCTATATATATATAGCAAATTGCTATATATATATAGCAATCTAATGCCTGTCTCTTATACACATCTAGATGTGTATAAGAGACAGGCATTAGATTGCTATATATATATAGCAATTTGCTATATATATATAGCTATATTGCTATATATATATAGATTGCTATATATATATAGCAATCTAATGCCTGTCTCTTATACACATCTAGATGTGTATAAGAGACAGGCATTAGATTGCTATATATATATAGCAATTTGCTATATATATATAGCTATATTGCTATATATATATAGATTGCTATATATATATAGCAATCTAATGCAATATGTAATAAATAATATATTGCAAAAAATAATATATTAATATATTAATATATTAATATTAATTAATATACTAATTTGTTTATAATGTTCTAACTTAGAAAAAGTAATTATAAACAAATACGAATTATTAATAAAGTATTCAAAATATTATTTTTATTATTCAGTGGATGGTTATTTTAACAGTATTTTAGCAGAGTGTAATTTTATAAATCTTAAAACACAAATATTATATTATTATTTTCATTGTATAGACAACTGTTAGATCATAAAAGAACCATGTAAAATTTTTGAAAATTATTAAAAAGTATTAAAAACTATTACAAAACTATTAAAAATCATTATAAACTATTACAAAACTATTAAAAATCATTCAAAATAGAGCTCGCTCTTCGAACTTTGCAAACGCGGAAGACACCAAAAAAGGCAGAAGTACTGTGACGAAAGGCACATATTAAAATGACTAATTTTCTGCATGGAAGGGAAAGACGGGAAGAAAATCTCCGGCTTATCTTCCCCCAACAATTTGTACTTTCTAAGTAAAAACTAATTT